TCCCTAATAAAAGAAAGTGTGTGTTCTGTGTGTTTTATTTTAATTAAGTAGGCCATTCATAACTGTTGCAATGTGCTTAGAAATATTTTATAATAATTAAAATCTGTTTGGAGCAGGTGAAGATATATTCTGCCACTACTAGTTTCTACCCTATATTTCCTCATTTGTTTTTTTTTTATTATTTTGGGTTAATCCATAAATTCATATCTGTCTTGGCATTGTCCTCAGAGTTGGTGTTTTGTTTTTTCTTTTAAATGTATATTAAGTAGTTGGTTCCAAACCTCTGAAATTGTTTCTACTATCAAAATCATAAAATAAGAGAGGTTAGGTAAGAGAACAATGAATAAGTTTCTCCACTTTGAGTATTTTCTTACAGAGCTTTCTTTGAACTTTTGTGAACTGTTTTATGAAGCTCTGAGATTGGGTCTTCAGTAAAGCTGCAGTTTCATTCTTCCCACCCTCTTTGACGTGTTTGCATTTAGAAAATAAGCATTGTGTTAAGGAGAAAAATGTTTGAAATAAGAAAAAAATCTTTTTGGTTTTAGACAATGCATGGCAATACCTATACAGGCAGTCCCCGACTTACGCGGATCCGACTTATGTCGGATCCGCACTTACGAACAGGGCTTTCTCGCCCCGGAGGTCGAGGTAGCGGATTGCTACCTGTGAGCTCCGGGGCGAGAAAGCCCCGTTCGTAAGCTGCTCCAGTGCCCCTGGTCTGCTGGAGACCGTCTCCAGCAGACCAGAGGCACCGGGCGGGTTCCCGCGCTTCTGAGGCTTTGCCAGAGCAAAACCTCAGAGGCGCGGGGAACCGCCGCTGCTGCCGCTTCAGTCGGATCCGCGTAAGTCGGGGACTGCCTGTATAGGTATTGCCATGCATTGTCTAAAACCAAAAAGATTTTTTTCTTATTTCAAACATTTTTCTCCTTAACACAATGCTTATTTTCTAAATGCAAACACGTCAAAGAGGGTGGGAAGAATGAAACTGCAGCTTTACTGAAGACCCAATCTCAGAGCTTCATAAAACAGTTCACAAAAGTTCAAAGAAAGCTCTGTAAGAAAATACTCAAAGTGGAGAAACTTATTCATTGTTCTCTTACCTAACCTCTCTTATTTTATGATTTTGATAGTAGAAACAATTTCAGAGGTTTGGAACCAACTACTTAATATACATTTAAAAGAAAAAACAAAACACCAACTCTGAGGACAATGCCAAGACAGATATGAATTTATGGATTAACCCAAAATAATAAAAAAAAAACAAATGAGGAAATATAGGGTAGAAACTAGTAGTGGCAGAATATATCTTCACCTGCTCCAAACAGATTTTAATTATTATAAAATATTTCTAAGCACATTGCAACAGTTAAGTTGAATCTGTATGTAAGTCAGAACTGGTGTCCAGATTCAGCCACTGTTGAAACTGATCAGTTTCAGCAGCGGCTGAATCTGGACGCCAGTTCCGACTTACATACAGATTCAACTTAAGAACAAACCTACAGTCCCTATCTTGTACGTAACCCGGGGACTGCCTGTACTGTGCTAGACTGTCTTCTTCCTCATTTCTAGCCTGTTACCACTGCTTTCATTTGTGTGCTTTCAAATAAGTGGTGTCCTTTTCTCAAATAACGAAAGCTCTTTCTTCTGTTCTCCATCTTCTCTCCTTGCTGGCTAGATGACTGTAGGAAAGGTGTCATGTGCGATAGGGGTTGTGGCTGAAGTCCTTGTCAATCTCTATGTGAATGACCACAGGCCCAAACCACAGGTTTCCTCCTCAGAACTGGTAAGGCTACAGCCACAAAAAATGAAATAACTCTGTTTTAAGAGTAACATTTCCAGGAGTTTTGTCCCAGTTTAAGATTCTAGAATTGGGACAGTTCTGGTCCTTAAGCTTTCTGCAATTTTTTTTTAACTCTCTTCCCCAAGAACGAAGTGCTTATTAGCAAAAGATGCCTACGTGGGTATATCTTGTAAATGTCACAGACCAAAGATCCTATTATATTTTATTACTTGCCTCTGTAGCTTAAAGTCTTGGGTGGTTCTACTAAAAGTAATTGCTAGTGCAACTAGTAAGTAGAGACAACTTTAATCAGGGGTGTTTTCTGAAGAAAGTTTTAAAGTGCAGGTTTGTCCAGTTACACGCTGCAGGGTATGTATAAATAACTCATGTTTCCTTTTGAAGAAGGTGGTACTAAACTATGATAACATTGTATTGAATTCAGAACCAGGCCTTGGGCTATACACCATCTTTCCCCACTTCCTATTCTATTTCTCCAACTTGTGCTTCTACTGGTCACAGTTGTCAGGTATCGAAAGGCCAAGTGAGGTCTTGCTCAGTTACTAGCAAGCACTATCTTGCAGGTAGTTCATAGTTCATTGCTGGCAATACTCTATTAATATCTTATTTGCAACTTGCTTTTTTCACTTGTATACTTGTATATTTTTGAAATTTGGGGTATAGAAATATTGGCAAAATGGGAAGGCTAGAGAGGCAAACGTTGACTGGCACTTGCATTTATAAGCACAACACAAATGCAGCTAGAGGGGAAGCACAGGATGAAGTGCATGGTTCCCTAATTGTGGCTAATATTAAAAAGTAAAGTACCATGGAATGATGGTCTCTGATGGGGAGCTGAAGGGTAGGTGGTATAATCTCCATGCTGTTGCCCATGTGTACCTTGACAAAGCACCAACCCTCTCCCCTACATGCAGAAGAATT